TAATCTCAGTGTAATTGGCCTAATTCCATGGTGAATAATTAGATCTAGCTTACCAGGGCGAATTTGGATGGAGAAAGCAGTCACACTGTGCTGGGAATCTATTAGCCAAGTTTACTGTGTTTTATATAAGTTGACAGACTCACCTCACTTGTTGATGGACTAGCCCAGCAGGTTCTACAGGTGAGATCACTGCTGGCTCATTCATTACTGGTCTTGGTAGACAGAAGAGGCCATGAAACCCAGCCTGACTTTGGGTTTCAGAAATTCTCTTTCTTAACTCCCTTCTTTTACCAACTCTTTAGGGGCTGAAATATTTATTCAAAAATTCATTAATTCATTCAACAAATATTTATCAAATACTGACAATGTTTCAGGCACTGACCCAGGGATTAGAGATATAATAGTGAACTAGACACTCCCTGACTTCCAGGGCCTATAGACAAATAATTATAGTATTCATTGAAAAATGTTACAATTCACAGAGCTCAGTAGTTCAAATCCTTATTATTTCTGTCTTTGAAAAGCAGACAGTGCACAAATGATCTTTAGAAGGGGATGGCATAGAAATGTATTTATGCATTTCAACACATAAAATTAATGAATGCACAAAGATAAGTTTGTCGGTTTCACTGTGAAGTTGGGAGTACCCAGACTTTATCTTGCCCCATGGCCACCACTGAGGTGCTATGGAAATACCACTCCAAGGGGGCTCCATTCATATCATCTTTGGGTATCTTCAGATTTTTGTCTCCCAAGTTCTCAGAGTCAGTAGTAAGATAAAAAAAGAAAAAAAAAAAGAACCATAATACTAATCTTGGCCATATTATGTTAAAGAAAGCAAAACAGATATTATTGAATTTACTTCTCAAAAAGCCCTTTTGCTTCTGCAAAAGTCTCCTGAATTCTTATGTCACACAAGAATGACTACGCTTAAATTCTCCTTGTCAATTAATGTACATGACTGAGTTATGTGTTGCCATGGCCATGAAAAGTATCATGTTTTGAAAATCTAGTCACAAGTTTTATGACATTCCTATTAGTAGGCTCCCATTGTAACACTGTTAAAACACGGTGTATACAGGGATTGTAATTCCATCTGTTTGTTTTTGTTTTTAGCTCCTCTTCCCCACCCCCAGAATTGTAAGGGGATATCAGCTCCACATTTTATTTGGTTATGAAGCTTTGGGTTATTTCTAGGATATGATATCCATATCAATTACTAATTGGACAAAAATGTATTGAGTGTTACTATGTGCTTTAACTTTTCCGATGTTATGAGAGTGATCAGCTAAAATTCTCCCACATTTATTAGTAATTTGAGAGGTATTTTCTCCATGAATTTTAAACTCTGGTAAAACCTGTCTCATATTCATAGATTTTTCTCTACAGTAAGAAATCTATGATGTTGAAAAGGTATGAATTATAGTTTAAGGCTTTTTTACTTTCACTGCATTTATAAGGTATTTCTTCTCCATCAAAAACTATTCACATTGGGCAGGTGGGAGGGGAAGGGGGGCAGGTATATACATACATAATGAGTGAGATGTGCACCATCTGGGGGATGGTCATTCTGGAGATTCAGACTTGTGGGGGGAGGGGGGAAAAGGGCATTTATTGAAACCTTAAAATCTGTACCCCCATAATATGCCGAAACAAAAAAAAAAACTATTCACAAACACATACACACACATATGCTATTTTGATTTTCCTCAAATCTATGCAGCTTTCCGTTGTTGGGCACATGTTAATATATTGACCTAGGTGGAGACTGTGTTTGCCCTCAAGGAATTTATAATCTAGTAGGTGAGAAATTTGCCTCTTTCAAAATGTCACACTACTTCCACACTCCTTAGGTTGTAAAAACAGTTTTCTATGCTTTAGTTCATTGTTTCCCAAACTTCAATTATTCATGTACCATCTTCATGATTTTTGCTATTCACATAACACCTGTACTGTTAAGGAAAATATGCTATCTTTTACTTAATTAAATTTTTCTAATAATAACATATTTGTTAAATCACTAGGCTGATATGCTAGTTATAAAATTTTCAAATACACTTTAATATTTAAATATGTGACTAATAAATTAAATATATGTTTCTTTTTTTGTCTATATACATCCCAAATCTTGCCCTCAGTACTATACATATGATACCTTGGGAAGCTCTACCTATAAGACCCCCCTTTGAGAGTGAGGAATGGCAGAAGCAAATAGATGCAGAAATAATGATACCATATAATGGTAAGAGAGCTATTAGCTATTGAGGATCTTACATATGTCATTTAACTTTATCTTATTTTATATTCATGACAACTCTCACAGGCATGCATATCACAGAAATATGAGGCAAAGGACAGGAAAGAAGGGACAGTGGAAGTAAAACTTTATTTTGCTGGGGCAGATATAACTAACACATGATAGTTGTTATTTTTTAGTATTCTTTTTTTAGTATTCTTTTTCCTTAGTTAGCTGAAATTTCACACCTGATTATTTTATAAAAATTGGAGTACAATGGTGGCAGATTAACATTTCAAAATCGTATATATTGTTAGTCAAGCAAAATAGTAAGCCAAGAAAAATGATGTTAGTGCCAATCGTACCCATTCTAGGAATGCAGAATCTTCTTTTACCAGGATCATGCAGGAGAAGTAAGATGAAAATACATTTTATTTTTTTCAAGCAAATTGAAATTTTCTGTTTCCACAGTGACTAAGCAGTAAGAATATCTTTGTCCCCTCTGAATTAAGGTATTTGCTCAAAAGCCATCGCATTGTCTGGCACAAGTGCCTAACTTATAAAGAGTGAAAATCTTCCAGCTCTCTGCTAAGAAAATAGTGAAATAAATATTATCATAAAATATTAGCATTAGAAGGGAACTAATGGACCTAAGACAGCTTCTTCACTTTACAGAGGAAAAAATTCGAAGCCTAGCAATAATTAGGAAAAGTTTTCCTGTGTTTCTATAATCGGCATCTCCATCATAAGGTTTGTGATATGCACTTGTTTTTATTTATGTACCTCAGTATCGCTTGTAGTATATGGGGAACTCCAAGTACAACCCATGCTTCATTTGTTTTTCACCCTACATTCTTGGCAGTGTCATGTACTTAGTTGGTGCTGAATAATTGCTTTTTGACTAACTAAATGGTAGAATATAAGCCATAAACCTACCTTTTAATTCTTAGTTGGCATAAACTGTCCAGATCCTTAAACCTCATTTAGCATTCCATTGTTCACCTTCCATATAAAATTGTTAAAGACAGTGTATTAGAGAGATACTTTGGTGAGTAATAAAAACTTAAAAGAGCTGGAACTATATGCTGTCCATTGTCACTTTTATGTATTCTGGGCATACACAATATATTTGAGAATGGTCAAAATAAGACAGATGACAAATCTAAATGTGTCTATATTATGTTGATTACATATTTTCATTGGACATTTACATAAATGACAAGAGCTGTAGGAGATCATTTATCTTTAGCAATTATTATAGAAAAAATTAGCTAAAGATTTTAAAATGCTTAGAAAAAGATTAAAATGTGCTAGATATTTTCTATGATTGAATTATCAAATGATTGCTCTGATTATTTTTCACAGTAATCTGATGAAAATGTAGCTTTGGATCTGTTAGTATACTTAGTGCGAATGCTTTGGAGGTTTCACCCTTGGCTTTCATGTATAAGTTGATATATATTTTTTCTTATTATCCTGTAAATAATTGAATTATGTTCTGTAAAAAAATTAGTTATTAATATTCTTTGGTGTGAAGCTCACTTTAAGAAGTGTTTATCTTTTAAGAGCCTGGTTTTTACCTATGAAGGCCAATACATCCTTTTAATCCTCTGGATTGGTTTTTTATAGCTTGATGAAATATGACATGCTTCTCTTACCTCCCCCTCCTTCCTGTGTCTCTTTCCCCTCCAGTTTTTTTCTATTCCTCTTGGCATCTGGACTTCTTTTTCTGCCAAATGAGTCAGTTAGAGAGGAAATGTTTAACCCACATTTTTCATCTTGGCTGGGAAAAGAGATTTGAAGGCAAAGAGTGCCTGAGTATGTTTCCTAGGATTCTTGATCCTGTCCTGAGAACAGGGACACCACTCTGTATTCAAGTTAGAAAGTACTAAATGATCCGTTTTCACCAGACATATATTTCATAAGATCAATGCTTATTTTAGAACTTTTTTTTTTGTTTGAGGCGAATATTTTTCTTTTATTTGAGTATGTGTATATTTTTCTTAATATCTAGTTTCCCTCCGCAAATGATTTGGTTTTACAAATACAATACAGTAGGAAAAAGATTAAAAAGGAAAAATAAGTAGATTTTTTTTCAAAATAGGATAAGGGGAAATATGAGTAGGATTTTAAGGTAGAAATGAATTGCATGTGTTCTAGCATAGAATAGGTACTCTCTGTTGAGAGTCTATTATACATAAGACTTTTAACACTAACCACCATATCTAATCTAATCTAATGAAATAGTCATTGTTTTGAATCTGTTTAGATTTTTTAGATGTAGAAATTGAGGCGTAGAGAAGTTACTTGACTCAACTTCACACTGCTAATTGGTGGTGGAAGTGGGATTAGAATTCTCTGGTAGTCTTATCCAGAGTACCATCACTATAATCCTTATAACTTGCTTTTTGGGACAGGTATTTATTATTAATGATAATGTACGATATTATCTCAGAAAATATACAAATAGCTTAGCTTCGCTAAATTAATCAAGTTTTTTCAAACCATCATTGCTTAGGAAACAGAATAGGTTGGGGCAATAGTAATTTGTTGGGTAGTGGTGGTAATCATGGTGCTGATGGGGGGAAGTGGTGGAATACATAGGCTGCCCATGCTTTTTTGCCGCAACGCAGGTCAAAAAGTAGATTGTTTAAAGTCTAAAATTAGTCAGGCATGGTGGTGCATGCCTGTAGACACAGGTATTTGGCAGGCTGAGGCAGAAGGATTGCTTGAGCCAAGGAGTTCAAGGCCAGCCCGGGCAACATTGTGAGACCCTGTCTTTAAAAACAAAAAAGAAAAAAAAAATGTCTAAAGTTACCCTTGGGGGTTGTATTCTTTACCAAAAACTTGGTGTTAGATACACTGTATAGACTTAGCAATATGTTATAAAAGCGAAGAAGTATTACTGCAAGAGTCTACTATGATGTAAATTGCTCAAGATTGTGACCCATGCTCTTTAAATGCTCATAAATCAGCATGCACATTCATTAAACAATATTTTATAGGTACACACAATAATATAATATCACGCTACATATTACAAATTGGATCTAAAACAAGTTCATTGGCTATTTTAGTACTAAACCTTAAATGGGCAGCAGTTTTGTTTGCTCCGGACTTAGAACATAAGAACAAAATTCAGGACAACCTGAATAGCTCAGATTTTTTGAAAAACCTCTTATCTTCTTTGAACAGCTTCCTTTGCTCCAATTAAACTTCTCAGTAGCAACTGGAAGCCATCAGAATGATTCCCTAGACCTTAAAGCTACGTCAAAGTACTGTAATTTGTCTACTTGACAGTTTATCAGCTAGATCATAGCAGTAATTCAAGAAAGACGTACTGACTTCCATTATGTTTTAGGCATTATGCTAGGAACTTTATGCATATCATTTTGTTTGATTTTAACAGCAACTCCACGAAATAAGTTATAACAATAAATCATCATTTTAGATATTGAGAAACCACAGAAAGAAAAGTAAAATAATTTACTTTTCCAAGGCCACATCAATGGCGAAACCAGAATTTGAACCCATGTACTTTACCATTGAGCTGCCTGCCTGTCCTCTAAGGAACTGCTGAGCCTGTTACATAGAGAGACTTGACGGTGTATAGATAGCCGCTTCAAGAGAGAAAAAAGGCAGGATGATGTGGTGCAGAGGTTTTAAACCAGGCATCTGTACAAGAATTGAAAGGTGGAACTATTGCATTGTATTTATTGAGTATGGGTATTCGATCTCCCTACTCCACACACTAGCCAAGGTGATAAAAGGGTCTATGATGAGGGATTAGGAAATATCTGCTATGTTTATTTCCTAACCAAATCACAAGATTAACATCTGCCTCTTCTTTCTCTTACATCTAGTTTTCCTTTGGATGAGAAAAATGAGCCTCATTCTGCTTCAATGGCAGAGATCAAATAAAAGACTTTTGTTTTTTTGCCACCAGATATGTTGTTATCTGTGCTTACAGAACTGAAAAGCACACATCAAAGGAGCATTCCCTTGAAGAGACAGGTAATGAGATACAATGAAAGAGAATAGGGATTTTTAAAATCACAGAGATACAAGATCAAATCCTGTGATCGCCACTTTTTAGTAATGTAGCCTGCTTCACTTCTTTGAGCCCCGATTTATTTTTCTGAAAAATGAAGGTGATCTAAATCATTTTGAGAGTTATAATAAAGATGTAATGCAAGTAAACCCATGACGCCAATAAAGACAAAACAAATGGAATCTTTGCATCTCCTGTCTTTGTCCAAGCTCTGCTCTGTTCTTCTCACCCTTCCTTTTCTTTTTCCTCTATTTTCTTTATTTTTTATGTACCCAATAGTTTTTCTCAAGCCCTAAAGCTATGTATATGTATATTGTTGCAGCAACATGTATAAAGGAGAGACTGATTCTTTGCATCCATTTATTTGCTGATATAAATATTTCATCCTTACAAGTTTTAGAGGGTAGATGCTGGTAAACTGGTGAGAAAGAAGCAGTTATCTCTGTGATTTAATTTCAGCTTGGGCATTGTACCCCGTTCACTACTGTTGGCAACTCCATGCTTCCAAGAACTAGTGAGCTGAAGAATTTAGCACTTCTAATAGATTAACCAAGCAAAAACTATGAAGTAAGTAATCTATAACACTATACTACATTAAAAATGCTAAAATATATTATGATGATTTTTTGTTTCTTTTCTTTTTTATTATTTTTATAGATTTATGGGGTATACGTGCAGTTTTGTTACATGGACATATTGGGTAGTGGTAAAGTCTGGGCTTTTTGTGTAATCGTCACCTGATTAGTGAATATAGTGCCCATTAGGTAATTTCTCATTCCATACCCCCCTCCATCCCTCCTGAGTCTCCAATGTCTATTAGTCCATTCTCAGTGTCCATGTGTACACATTATTTAAGTGAGAACATATGGTATTTGACTTTCTGTTTCTGAGCTATTTGACTTAAGATAATGGCCTCCAGTTTTCATCTGTTTTGCTACAAAAGACATGATGTCATTCTTTTTATGGCTGAGTAGTATTCCATGGTATACATGCCACATTTTCTTTATCCAGTCATCCATTGATGGACTTTTAGATTGATTCTATATCTTTGCTACTGTGAATAGTGCTGCAATAAACATACAAGTGCAGGTATCTTTTTCATATGTTATTATTATGATTCTTATAGCTCAAGTTCATACTGCTGTACACAAAATTCCTGACATCATTTTATAAAGATGTTATACATATATTGAGACATAGCTAATTAATAACAAAGAATATAGAACTATCTAACTCCTTCCTAAATATTTTTTCTTTAAGGAGATTTTACAATCCAACTTTGCTGTGGTTAGACACTGGAAGAGAAAACATTGAGTTGGAAACCCTAAGGATGATGTAAGTAATAGAGTATATTTTAGAGCTGAATTTTGTCAACAACTAGCTTGTCACTGTCATTCTGTAAATGTCTTTCTGTCCTGATCCCATTGATCAGGCAGCCAGTAGCAGCAGTGAATGTCTCTAAGGTTGATGCTGGTATGAAACCTCTCAGCTGGGGTAGGCTCTAGAGAGAGCCAGTCAAGTGCTCATACCAGCCAGAGCTCCTCGTCATGCTGACCTCTCTCTCCTGATCCTGCCTGTCTCAACAAATGCTCACTTTCTCTTTCACATAATTCCAGTGGAATAATTTCCATTAAATTGCATGGAATAGCCTGTTCTTGAGGCTAGTCTGGTAGTTAATGCTTTTCATTAGATTTTTTGGTTTTGCAATACATTTTTATACATTTGCATATACACTTTTCTTGGAGTCATACATAGCTCATTCTCAGGTCCTTTTAAGTTAAATATCTTTAATTCCTTTTTTTAAGGTCTTTTTCTTTTATAATTTCATAAGATATAAGGAGTCACCAATCCATGTGAGAGAGAAAGTAAGTCAAATGAATAGAATTTGGAACCACCTTGCTATGTGACTCTTTTAAGGTTCAAGCATTATGATTGAGCATATTAGAAACCTTTCCCAAGTCAGTACTGCTTTCTAGAACAAAACTGGAGAGATCTGTTTGGAATGTATCTGACACCAAAGAAACCATCTGAGGTAACAGGTGGAGGACTGGAAACAACAACCTTTTAGACATGAACCCTAATTGAATAAAAGTTCCCGAGCAGTTCATTGCCACATCTAAAGAATAGTTTTAGTCTAAACAGAATGTCTGGAGAGTGTAGGAAAAGTTCTTCCTGTTCTGCCTGAACACAAACCTCTGTGGCATTTACCAAAGAAATGCAGGCCTTTAAAACTGAGTGTAAGTCCCAAAGATGCTTTCTTCATGGAGCTTCTTTTACCCTCTGCTTTTAGACTCTTTCCTCACAGTGCTTCTTCTGTGTCACCCCTCTGTAATCATCTGCTCTTACACAAGGGGCCACACGGGGACTGGCCCACACACCAGCCAGACCACATGGGCCAACTTTTAACAGCAAAGAAGGATGCTACAGGCTGGGGTAGAAGCAGAAGGGAAAAATGACTTTCTTCAGAGAGCTAGTGTGGCTCTGACTGAGATCAAAGCCTATGACAGACCTGAGTTGGAATCTCAGTTCCAACAATAAGTTTGTTTATACACTTAAGGCATCACATATAATGTTAAATAATACATATTTTACAGGATTGTAATGAAGAAGAAGCAAAATAATGTCTATAAAATGCTTCATAGATGGGCCAGCACATAATAAACATTTAATAATCAGTGGCTATTAATTCTTTTTCCTCAAAATATTTTCTCTGGCCTTCTAGCTATAATAAAAGCTAGTCTCATTGACACTCCACGGCTAGGACTTGCAGAAGAAAAATGGTCTGAACAATTTAGATGATATCTTTTCCCTTCAAACCAAGGGATGCATTTTTGTTCTAAAATATCCAGATTGTCCACAGCATTTAACCAGGTAATTACCAAATCTACATTTTACTTTTAGGTGTTAGAAAACATTAAAAAATTATATGTATGTACTGTACACATACACACATGTCTTCTGTAGCATTTAGCTCATCTCTCTTTTCCTATGACTTTCTCTATAACTTTCTCTATAACTCTGTGAGCTAGCTTTTACATTTTCTTATTTTACAGTTGAAGGAAAAGGGAACACAGAGAAGCAACCTGGTTTGGTCAAAGGCCTTGCAGTTGGTTAGAGATAGAACTGGGGTGTTCTGACCCATTTCCAGTTTTTCGTCCTCTGTACTGCTCTGCTAGCTGTGGAAGTGAAATGTGCTGTAACTTGGCTGCCAAAGAAATCCCAGCTGAAAGGTAACCAAAGGAGAGGAGTGTTTTGAAGCAGCATGGCTGAAATCCAGTTAAAAGTTAAAATCGTACTGGGCAATTTCTCCTTAATTGACAACAGGAATTGCTGTCACTGCCCTGTCTAAACACTTTGTAAATGGCAGGGATGATAGCAAGAGCTCGTGGTGAATACTTCCTATAGGAGCAAAGATTGCTTTGGCTGGATTCTGCTGCAGCAGTGTTCTGGCGGTGAAGAGTCTGTAGTAAGACAGTTGGAGGCAGTAACTGTTTTCTAACAACCACCTCAGGTGGTTTTGGCACCTAATTCTTTGGCACTGTCTAGGGAAGCTCTTTATGCGAGTTCATGCTACTTGTCAAGTCTACCTGCGTATCTAATTTTGCTGGGGAATCTGATACTGCCCTTCAAATATTATAGTTCACCTCAGTGGAACCCAGTGTTTGCCCTGCACAGTGTTCAAGGAGTCCTATCGTCTCTGACAAGCAAACAGCAAAGACAGGTTTTAAAAAACGGCCCCTGTTTTTGCAGCTCTTCCATCTTGGTTCCGTGGTGTTTGAAATCAGAATGTGGTCTTGAGTTAATGACACAAGGAAACACTTGGATGCTTGTATTGTCTACTTGGTTTTCATGAACCTCATATGGACTGGCTTTATCCTGTTTCAGAGTCCACAGCTCTGTATTTTCCTCTCCACTTCCTGTGCAGGCCTTCCTCTGGTTTGTGGGCTGCGCACTTCATCTTGCTCCTTTAAGGGGCACACCCAAGCTGAGGGCGAAAGAGACTTTTTACAGCTTCTGCTACCTGCTTATCATCCAATCCCAATCTCAGGTTTTCTTTCCCTATTTTAAAAACCTGAATAGCTCTTTTCCCACTTGTCTATAACTTTTTCTTTCAATTCTCTGCTCTTCACAGTAATTAAACTGGAGGTAAGCTCCTTTTCCAAGCCTTGCTTTTGTAATACTATTATTTATGCTTTCAAGAATAACATAAATATGTTAAACTTGGTCTTTATTTGATGATTTCATAAATCCAAGACTCCTTGACAGTTTACAGGTTTTTCGAAAGGGCTTTCTTAAAAAATCTCTGCTAATCTACCTGAATTTCCCTCTTAAGGCAGTTATTAATACATACAATGCCTCTTAAAACTAATTCTCTGTATTTGCAGTTTGGCAGCCTCCTCCTACTGGAACTGATGACTTATTCTGGAGGGTTAGTTAATAAGTCATGAAGATCAAGTCTTCATATAGGGAAGTATGAAAGCTTGGTGCAGGTGAATACTAAAGAAGACCCCAAATTTCAAGGAAGGTTGGAGATTTCTGTGGAGACCTCCAAAAATGCTTCCTTTATGTAAGTTTTTACAGTGAAGTTTCTCCCTCTAGATTATATTGTACTCACATTGAAACACTCCAGGGATTTTGTTTTCAGCCTGCATATACTATATATGTTTTTCATATGGATAGATAAGCCAGCCTTTAAAGAAGATTGCATCAGCTGCTGCTGGGAAGTTTTTCTTGAGTGAGTGAAGATCCTTTGAAACAGCCCTTAACATTTCACTACCTGTAGTTTGTAATAAAATCTACATTAGTCTGGGGTTAAATGATAGCTGTGGTCTTCACAACATGGTAGGGGACCCTGGTGGCCAGATAAAGGGAAATCCCTTATTCTTATTTCTGACTTCCTTACAAACTTATATTGTGACCCTAATTTGAAAGATTTATTTCCTCTCCCACCAAAAAATTACAAATTTTATAAGCATTTTATTAATTTGTTCAGTGACCTTGGAATTATTAAGGCTGGCCTGGGGTTTTCCTGAGGAAATTAACTGTGTTTGACTCAGTCACTGTTTTTATCCACACAGCCCTACCTGGTCCCTAGAGTACAGTAGGCATTTAATAAATGAAATGAAATGAACGAATGGGAAGAGTCACATTTTATATTTCAGGGTAATTAGTATTTTACAAAGGACACTAATAATATCAGTTTTTGGAGACACAGTCTCATTCTGTTGCCCCAGGTAGTGTGTAGTGGCATCATGATAGCTCACTGCTACCTCCAACTCCTGGGCTCAAGTGATCTCCCTGCCCAGCCTCCTGAGTAGCTGGGACTACAGGCGTGGCTAATTTTTCTAGTTTTAGTAGAGACTGGGTCTCACTCTGGCTAAGGCTGGTCTTGAACTCCTACACTTGAGCAATGCTTCCATCTTGGCTTCCCAGAGTGCTAAGATTACAGGCGTGAGCTACCGCGCCCAGTAGATAATATATTTCTAAAAGGAGATTGATGACAAATCTATCTAACACTTCTCAAAAAGAAGGAATTCAACTTCTATCACTTGATCTAGGTTTTCAATTACAAAAGCATCAAGAATACACTGTGGCTGAATAAGTGTGAATCTTTAAGGCAAGTTGAGGGCTCAGGCTGCCCTTGTGGACATCAATACTCCCATCGAGCACTTTCCATGAAGGAAAGTGTGGAATTGCTGTCTTTTCATCAAAAGTCCCAGAATTTGGCTGACTGCCCAGTTAATCCCAGGACATTAGTCAGCCCACAAATCCCACATTTGTTTTTTCAGTCCAGAGCGAGTGAATGCTGCCATTCTCCCATCTCCTTTGTTGGCAAATGCTTTGTTAACCTAAATTTAGTTCTGTAACACAAAATGAAGTGACTAATCTTGTGGGGGTTTCCCTCTCCTAGGTTCTTGTATGAGCAACTAAATCTGTAGACCACAAAGACCCATGCTGTCGTGTTCCCTCATACTGCCCTTTTATTCTGATCTTCCGCATTGTACTTCATGAAACCAATACCTTCCAGATTGTGGTTGAACTGGCGCCACCATTAAGAAAAGAAGGTTCCTGGACTTTTTAGTGTTGTGAGAAAATGTTAGAGGCAAGGGGAATTTAGGTTGATTATTTATACTTATGTAGTTTTCTACTACACATTTGCAGTAGTCATCACTTTGCACTCTAAAAAAGTTTTCTAGCTCTGAATGTGTGGTTCTGTGCAAGAAGTAAAAATCTTAACACAAAACAGCTTGGATTATCACATGGGTTAATATGTGGTGGATCTGGAATATGAACCTAAACAGAATGTATATTCTTTATCATAGGCTATGTGTCTATCTACAAATCTCTAGAAAGACCTGGGCTTTTTAGCAAAAGTTTGAGAATCTATGTTTCTAATGTGTCTAAATTTCCATTGACCATGCAAGTGCTTAGTTTTGGAAGACAATTGGGATGTAACATAGTGCAAGACAGAAGAGGGGAAAAATAAAATCACAAAACCTATCATTTTTGCCAGAATCCCCAGCCCATTTTTAGAGCATATTGCACCTAGCAGCTTGGTAAATAATTCTCGTTGACCATTAGGCCTGTGGAAATTCTATTTGGTTCATAAAGTTTTGACTGTCACTATGTTTACCATTGATAACCTATTTTTTTTCTTTCCTTCTTCCCTTTTCCTCCAACTCTTAGCCAGAACTACCTTCCAGCTGACATCTTCCTACCACTCTCCTCCTTCCCAGTGTAAGAGAATGCAAATATGTACTGATGTTTGAAGCAAGAACATTCAAGAATTTTCCTAATAATATAACTTCTAATGGAAATATGGTATACTGGTATGGAGACTATAAAGAAGAAATAAAGCAACACATGTTCATTTTAGACCTGATAGCTGCCTTTTATTCCTTAGCCCCTCCTTGATGTCTTGTAGACTGTCATTAGCTAATTGTCATAGTGACCAAAAGAAAAAATAAGGATTTTTAGCTGGTACATACATAACAGAAGAGGAGATGGTTTAGTAAACAAGCACAGACTTTGGAATCAGGCAGCTCTGGATTTGAAAACAAAGTTAAAGCACGACTAGCTATATGACCTGGGATAAACTACTACTTACCTTTTTTGAGACTGAGGTTCCTAATTTGTAAAATGGAAATAATAATCAAACATTAGCTAGCATTCATTGTGCACATGCTATATGCTGGTGATAAATAATTTATACACCCTGTACCATTTAATCCTTATAACAGTCCTGTGAGTTAGAAACTATTATTTCCATTTTGCAGGTAAAAAAAACAGATGCTATAGTTTGGTTTGTTTGACCCTTCCAAATCTAATGTTGAAATTTGATCCCCAATGTTGACCTAATGGGAGGTGTTGGGGTCATGGGGGCAGATCCCTCATGAAATAGCTTGGTGCCCCCCTCACAGTAATGAGTGAGTTCTCACTCAATTTGTTCCTTTGAGAGCTGACTGTTCAAAAGAGTCTGGCATCTCCCCCCTGTCTCTTTTGCTTCCTCTTTTGCCATGTGATCTCTGCATATGCCGGCTCTGCTTCACCTTCCACAGTGAGTAGAGGCAGCCCGACACCCTCCCAGAAGCAGATGCTGGCACCGTGCTTATACAGCCCATGGAACAAACCTCTTTTCTTTATAAATTACCCAGCTTCAGGTATTCTTTACAGCAACACAAATGGACTAAGATGCCAGACATAAGGAGAGAAGTTAAATAACTTTCCCCAAGTCACACAGCTACTATGTGATGGGGCTGGAATGTGAATCCCTGTAGTTTGATAGCAGAGTGTATGCCCTCAGTCACTGTAACACTGGTCTACAAATGTAAAACACACCAGGCACACAGGAGGTGCCCAGTAAGTGGTATCTCCTGCCAAATCAAACCTTATAAACAATCACTAGGTGATGCTTAAAAGGCCACAAACAATTTCTTAGGATGGGTCACAGATCTAATAACTGTAACTGATTATGAGCCTACTTTGTGCCAGGTGCTTCCTTTTGTAGTAGTTCAATCATTATTAAAGAAAGTTATTATTATCTTTATTTTTCTAGTGAGACAATTGAGGTTCACAAAGGCTAAGAAATTTGTTTAGGATTACCTAAATATCAAATGATGGAACTGAGGCTCAAATCTGGGTCTGTCCTACATAAAAGGCTGTGCTCTTTCTGCTCTGCTGCCTGAATGTTTTTCATGATTAAACATATTTATTACTTATGAGGTGTCCCTGCCACTTTAGTTTTTACAAATGCATTTATTTATTTTTACTAAGGCATAGTTGGCAAATAAAAATTATATGTATTTATGGTTCAAAATGTGATGCTTTGATACATGTCTTCATTGTGAAATGGTTAAATCAAGCTAACTAACATATCTATAACCTCACACGCTTATTATTTTTTGTAATGAGAACATTTACAATCTGTTCTTAGTAATTTTCAAGTATTATTCTGCCTGGCTTCTAACCCAAGGCTTGGATTAGGACAGTTTTTGTAGCTTCTTAGTTTGAAGTTCAGGGACCACAAATGTTGTTTCATCCACGAAGCTTTTGCAACTTGCTATTTTCATACCTAAGGTCTGGGGGAAAGATTAATTTAAGTGGTTTTTAAAATGGCCATTTGTTCAGGACATATTTAGTCAAAGCATGTGACAAGAACTTTGCCAGCATTGTGCTGGTTTTTTTTGTTTTGTTTTTTGCCATAGTCTTTAAAAAAACTTTATTTTCTGGAAATGAACACTCCCACTGTTTTTTTATAGAGGACCAAGAATATGTATAAATAATTTTTGGGCTTGAATACAGAGTTGCTGAATGCAGGCAAACAGAAATCTAAAGTGATAAACAAGGTTGTCCTTTGAAGATATTTTTCCTGGCTTGAGTTCTTTATTTTTGGATTCTATTCAGTGGAAATTTTTATTGAGCACCTCCTGCATACCAGATGCTCTGCTATGTCATGAGTGTTTGGGGGCTTGTAATACAGTCTAGTTGGAATACCTGGAAGATGAAGAAAGAAGGTGTATAATTATAGTACAAAGCAGAATAAAATTTGGTATGCAATGGGCTATCAGATATTATGGAGGAAGAGAACATAGTTTATTTGTGGAGTCAGGGAATGCCTCACAAAGTTGATGGCATTCTTGCTGGGTCTTGAAGGATAGATAGGATTTTGATAGGTGAGGAGGCATTCCAATGCAGAAGAATAATAGAGTAAAAGCAGAATGATGAGAGAGTGAAGGAAAACTATGAATATTGCCATATAGAGTGGAGGCAGGGAAATATAGGATGACTGGGTTTATATGGTTAATGGTGCATTTCATGGACCCTGATGAGCCAATAAATAGAAGTAGTTGCAGCAGTGCAAAGGATATTTTGTCTGGCTATACTCAGGTAGAATGTAAAGATACAGTTTCCATTGAATATAGATCCTACTTACATTGCCTCTCCACAGGCTTTATGGTCTAGTCTTATGTATTTTCCAAGGTAACATCATTTTGGAGGGTGCTGACAAATTGCCATTTACTTGCTCTTTTTCATCTTTACATTCATTTCTTCTCAATTCCCCCAGTGAACACCTTCACTGACATCAGAAATGTAAAGAGAGAAACCAGAGAAAAACATGGGACAAATAGAATTATTAGAAACATTTTCCAGGAGAAGAACACTACTTCGTGGCCATTTGAATCTTTATTTCTTTCTGAATTTGACAGTGAGGGTATCACGTAAGCCCAAATGTAAACAGAAAGAAAGAGGTTGAACTGGTCAGGATAAATTGGGCTATGCTGTGATAACAAACAACCTCAGAATCCCAGTGGCTTAAAAAACAAAGAATTATTCTCACTCATGGCACATGCCCATCAGTGGTCTGCAGGTGGCCTCTGCTCACTGAAGTCACTGAGAAATATGAATGGTTAGAACAATTTACTTAGGAAAGTTCAGCCTTCTAGATGCCAAGATAGCATTGATCCTGTACTGGGAGTTTGCCAGGTGAGTGCAATATACAGAGAGACATGAATGAATTTGAGGGTGCTGGTGAGACACTAGTTCAGATGTCAACTACTTGTAGTCTGTTTTGGGAAAAGCTAATGGACTGTGAGAAAATGAAGATCCAGGAGCTGGAGGACTCAAAGAGTTTGAAGAGCAGGTGTGTATAACTGAGGATACTCAGAGCACAGGAGGGGAGGCAGCTGAGGCAGAGAATGGGATATTTGCAGTTATGATATTGGATGTGAAGCCATTCTTGGTGGTGATAACATTCAGGATGTATCCCTGGAAGTGGGGAGGAGAGAATATAAATTGAGTGGAGGCAAGATCTGTCATTGTGTATTTGCAACCAAGGATAGTATATTGAGGGTGTTAGGTGGCTTGCCCATAAAGACACCAAAGTTTTCTAGGATGGTAGAAGTTGGAGTTGAGGGGAGAAGTTGTTTTGTTTTGAATAATGTGATCAGGAGGTATTTCTGACGACAGAAGCATAGAAGTATACACTGTGTTGTAGTCAGCTGGCATGAGTACCAAGGTACAAGTGTGGTGGTTTCAAAGTGGCATTAAGGAGCCAACAAATTGTCATCCCCACTCTTAGTTCTATGGTAGATGAAATACACAAATACACAGCATAATGTGGGGGGCGGGAATGTTGAGCTTACTGGGGAAGGGGTTTTTTTATATAAGGCAAGAAGATTCCAGAAGATGTAGTGGTTAGAAGAGAGGAGAAGCCAAATGGAGGAAGGACAGAATAATAAGGAGTTAAGAACAGGGGAGGTGAATTGACTTTCTTTTGGCATATGTGATTATAACAATGGAAGCCTTAATTGGAATTAATTGACCACAAATATTCCAAAGATGGAGTGAGTCATTCAGTGACAAAGATGTCTGAAGGTCTGAGGTGGGGTCTGGCTCAGACGTGTGGGTGGGCTCACTCTGTGGGGACTGGGGTTGTGAAGGGTCTGGACACAGGCTGCCTCCTGTACACAGAGTGGAGGGGTCAGGCCTGCTCTCCCTGGGGTGGTCTCATGATGTGCTGAGTGGCCACACACAGGATAGTTTTCATTTAACATCCCTTTTCTAGCCTAACAATAAGCCTAAGAGATGGGCAGAGCAATAATATTAATAAAATATCTGCCTTTTTTCCATCCTTGGAGTTGTGAAGATTCAACACAATCATTTCTGGGAAAGCACTTTAACAACTGTAAATTACTATATATCTGCCAAGTTTTATTGTTGCCCACACCTTTGATGTGCTTCTCTTTGTGCTCTTCCCTGTATCTGTAACACATCCCCGAGGATAATTAGGGCTTCCCCTTCACACAGCCAAGAGTCCTTATTTACAGTATTAAGCTGGCACCTGGGCCAGTTCTCTGCAGTGATTATGTAGTCTTGATGTGGGCTGGCATCTTTCCCTGCAGTTTGAGTACTTCCCTCAGCAGCTTCTCCTGGCCAGAAACTCCATCTCTGTGTTTTTCTATCACAAAGCCTAGACTCCCATCTAGGCCACCCACCAGGTTCCTCTTCCTAGTCTTCAGCTCCTGGCTCAGTTGTGAAGCTGAGCTGACTGACATGCCCTGAGCAAAGACTGCCAACCTGGTCTAGTTTTCCAAGTTCCCCTTGATGATTCGACAAGAAGGCAACCACTACACCGTGAGAATCGCAGTTTTACAATGTTCAAAGTTGTTTAGACTTTCATGAAGAGAGGCAGATATGGTTCTAACCAAGAAAAAGGCATTCCTTTATTAATACTCTTGATCTCCTTTGAAATTGAACAGACTTTTCTGGAGTTTTTAGATGTTAGATTTTCTTGGAAAGGGAAAGGAAGTTTCTGTGATGGAATAAACCTTTTGTTAAGGTAGTTCCCAAGTAGATTCCATAGCTTCATTCTATCATCACTTTTCTACTGACATTGATTTATTTTTTTTTCCTTTCATGGTCTGGGATATGGAGACTGTCTTTTTGCAGAAACCACATCCCTTGGAGTGATGGGGTGCACCTATCTCAATTGTTCATGCAGCACAACACCCCTGGTCAGCTATAAAGAAGTGTATACATTAGTTTTAGAAAATGTGATTCATTCTTGGGAGGAAAAAATTATGCTATATGTTCTCTTTACACATTTGGTTTATAACACATTGCTATGTATTCTCCTTCTATTGAGCATGTATTTGTACCCCACGCCTCCCATCTCTTTATTCTGAGCATGAAGGCTACTTTTTGGCTTCAGACAGAAACTGCCTCAGGAGCACCCCCTGGACACAGAAATTCTTTGAACTATCATGGATTATGTTTGAAGCTTTACATGTTTCCCTGGAAGCCTGATTAACCCCAGTGCCTACTTTCTCTAACAGCTCATATTTAATCCTCTCCATTTCTCTGATTTAATCCATTTGAATCACATGCTACTTTTCTTTACATGCCTAGAATTAGCACCATCTGGGCGATGAAGAGCTGAAATCTATTATGCAAACATTATCTTGTTTAAAATACTAGTTCAACTTACATTTTATGCTTTGGTAATGCTACTTTTCTGGCTTCTTGAGAATTTCCAAAACTCTATGCTAATCCTTTATCTTGTCATTCCAAACTCCATGGGGCATCCTATAAAAGCATAAAGATTAAGGAGGAGAAAATTTTTGTTATAGCCCCTCTCTCCAGAACCAGCTTCTGTTAGCAAAACTCCAGTCATCAAGAATAAACAACTTTTAATCACTCTCTTTTTTTTTCTTGGCCAGGAAAAACTTAAAATATGAATGTTCTTTGTAGAACTGCACAGTCTCTAATATTCAGGTGGAGACTGGCATGGTTTTTCTTACTGTAAGAAAAAAGTTCGTACCTCCATAATTCCCTGAAATACAAAAAATTAAAAAAAAAAGATTTAGTATGTTGTGTCTTTTATTCAGGAGACTGGACTTAATCACTCTCATCTTCAGTACTTAGTGGTGCTGCCAAGGTAATGTGGTCAGAATGAGGATAGGATGTTAAATAAATGAAGCTTTATAGAACATGAGTAGGGTTGAGTCATATAAGCAAATATCTCAGCTTTCTCACCTATCTCAGCACTAAAATGTGTTATTATGATCGCAGAGTGCTGATTTAAAGGAAAATATAAAGAATAAACACACACAAGCAACTGTGTGTCTAGGAAGAATGTGGAGAGCAGAGATATGAAAGCAGGATAAAGCATTTCTTACAGCCTTCGGTTGTTAGCATAGTGGTGGCCACATAGCAGGAGTTTCATAAACATTTATTGATTGAACTCTTTTTTGAAAGAATGCAATGATGTACAAAGCAAAGAGCCCAAAAATGTTTTAATAA